TAATCTAAAGCACAACTATGCATGCTTTGTATATCTTTTTCATTTTTTTTCTATGACCGTTCTTTAATATTACTGTGCTATTGCATGTCTTGAAGAAATGGAATAAAGAATTGAATTAATGACGCAATGACACACACACACACACACACACACACACATAAATGGTTAAAGCTCTGCATTGCCTATGTCGCATACAGCTGTTTAATTCCCGCTCTTGCTATACAAGTGTTATTGTCACTATAACAACTCCCTGGGTACGGTAACCTAATAAATTTCAAATGCCAATATTTTGACACAGTAAGATATGTGTTAACGAGATACCAAATAAATCATACATTACTATAATACAACACTGATAATTATGTATATGAATTCAGATTTAAACATCCCGGATATGTTGGAGGGGTTTATCATTGAGGTTTTAGGAACGTCAGTGCCTGATTGTATACCTCACGTCTAAATTTCGTTTCTACGTATCAGAGATCTCGGAGGGCAATAGAGGTAGAATAAGTAATTCACGGTACTTACTTGTGTAAATTAAGTCCTCACGCTGGTACGCCTTAGGTATGTGTGGGCATCGATGCCGTAGACACGGATTCACAATTTTATAGGCCTAGATGTTTAGAATAATAAAGTCGAGTGCAACACCAAATTGTTATCAAATGACCTTGGGTAACATCGAATATCCGCTGGAACAGGAAGACCAAAGATAAATGAGCAGTTAAATCATCATAATTGAATTCAACATACCCCCAGCACAATATTTATAGATAATTGCTGTTCCGGTTATATGATCACTACCGTATTAATATACTCATTTTTAAAAAGATGTAGGTCTATAGGCCTTAGCACTTTGTTATATAATAAGTCAATATGTTCTTTTTGAGGAGCTACAAACGCGTTTACGGTAACCTTCAGTTCAGAACGCGTCATCGTATGTAATTGTAATCAACTTTATAACCAATCTGTCTACTGTTCATTTCCTATTTAGTTGTCAATGCGTTTGATTCTCAACCCAAAGCTATTTTATTCACAAATAAGTTTATCCTTGGTGTTTAAAGGGATATTAAAGTGCTACTCATTATAATATGCCGAAGTACTTTACAATGTCAAGAACCTTAAGTCAAATTAGGGCAAGCACGTTGTCAGCCACGCGATAAGCTCAGATGATATTATTATTATTATTATTAATGTTATTAATAATAATAATAATAATAATAACATCCGTCATTATTATTATTATTATTATTATTATTATTATTTACCACTTTCATTGTTCTTTGTAATTTTCATTATATATATACATATTATTAGGCCTATTATAATTATTATTATTAGGCCAATTATTAGGTCAATAATAATGATATAGTGTAATTTTGTAAAAATGATATAGTAGGTATACTATAGTACTATTGATATAAATAGAAACATAAAACATGCCATTTGAGATGGGTTTGATCTACTCTTAGGACCCATGAATTTCTAAAATGTTATAACATTTTAATGGAAAAATGTGCAGTGATTTACCGTGAGATTTCGCAATATTCAAGCTAATGTGATCGGAAATTTACTTTAGCAAATGCACAAATTGCACGAGTGTTGATCGCCGGCTCCGATTAGCAGCTGCCCAGTACTCATTTCCGATTCGATAAGCTCACCAAAAAGGATTACTGGACCTGATCAAGCACTTTTTCTCTTATGAATTTTACGTATCTGTCAATATCTCGATGATTTCCCTTCATGTTACCTCATTCATATTAAGAAAGCATGTACCCTGTGCTCCATCATGTGCTGCTTGCGTGTAGCCGCATGTCTAGAGACGCGCCTGCTTGATTCCTCATTAATGCTATCTTATGAAGTGTATCTCTGTGTGTAGGCCTAAAAGCCTACTAAATAGAAATCAAAAACGCATTTAATTGGTAAGCATCTGAACAGTTAGACTTAAATAATGGGACGCTATTCGAGGGAGGTATTTTTTTAATATATAATGGATACGTATAACTCAAGTAAACGCCAGATTATTTAACTGTAGTGGAACTACAACACATAATTACCGTCAAAATGTGTTATTGCGTCATTATAAAGACTTATTGAACCAGGATGGAAACAATGTAATTGTATTGGAGTAGAACACTAATAGAATGTGTTAAGAATGATGTTGCTTCCATTAGTTTATTTTTTAATTCACTTTGTTGGAGGAAACAATAAACGCCCTGGGGCGTTTATTCGAGGGAGGCGTTTATTCAAAATGCGGCTGGGGGGGGGGGGTGGCATTTAGTCGAGGTGTGTTTATTCAAAGCGGGGAGTTTATTCGAATAAATATGGTAACGTAATGACAAATTTAAATGAAAATTAATTCCATTCGATCGATTTTTTATATATCCCAAAAGTCCCAACTAAATCAAATATATTTAGTTGGGACGTTGGTTTAAGTTTTGACGTGGGTTTTAAAGGACTATGCCAATATTTTGGCTAGGCCTTTATGTGCAATTGCAAATTCCAGTTTACGCGAGTCTTATGTCCCCCATGAATGGAAAGCTGCAACTATTGTTCCAATCCCCAAAGTTAACCCTCCCACTTCTTTTGAATCTGATCTAAGGCCAATTTCACTAACATCTTGTGTGGTAAAATGCTATTAAAAGAAATTCATGACAAAATCGATTTAAATCAATTTGGCTGTATGAAAGGGGTATCTACTGTAGATTCCCTTGTTTCAATAATGTCCAAATGGTTTGAAGCTGCTGACAAAGGTTATGAAACCCGGGTCTTGCTTTTAGACTACAAAAAGGCATTTGATCTTGTTGACCACTCGATCCTAATAGAAAAACCCAACAATTTAAATGTTAGTCCCACCATTGCAAAATGGATCCAGGCCTTTCTAAGCATTAGAATGCATAGAGTCAGAATAGGTAATTACTTTTCTAAATGGCTGTGTCCGAATGGAGGTGTGCCTCAGGGGTCCTGGCTCGGGCCAATTCTTTTTATTATCTTCATCAATGATCTGAAAGTTAAACTTCCCCTTGTTAAATATATGCATGACACTACGTTGTCGGAACAAATTTCTAACAGGGAGCCGAGCACTTTCAAAACTGTGTGCGATGAAATCTGTATCTGGTCTACCACCAATAGAATGAAGATTAATGAAGGGAAAACTCAGGAAATGCTAATAAGCTGTAAACGTAATAAATCACAACCCCCTGCTCTCCAGATAAATAGTGTTAATATTGCCAGTGTTAGTCAAGCAAAATTGATTGGTGTTATCATCCAAGATGATCTAGGATGGGACGGCCAAATTCAATCTATTGTATCCAAATGTAATACAAGAATCTATTTTTTAAAACAATTACGAAGAAGTGGTCTTGATGCCACTACCTTGGACAATTCGCTCTGCCCAAAAATAAAACTGAGGAAAAAATAAGAGCCAAGAAATTCATCACTTAACTATGGTATTTTTCATCAATGGTAGACGCGATTCTACTCTGATCGGTGGCCGGTCGTTTTTTGTTTATTCGTAATGTACCGTCTTTTGTAATTAAAATAATTAAATAATTTATAATGGATAATTTTTGTAATTTTTAACAATTGTAATGTAATAATTTAACTTTTTATGGGCTTTGCAATGATTATGATTTTAATGTAATAACTGTTTTATCCCGATGTTGAATTTTATATTGATGTCTGTCCTGTCCCTTTTTTTTTGCTCGATGTTTTTGAGTGTATTTTACTATTTTAGTACCGTACTAATATTATGTATACTCCAATCAACACTTGTATGAATGCAATAAAGATTGATTTGATTTATATAGTCACATACCTCAAAATTAAAAAGAAATTTAATTGCTGAATTTAATACACTATGAGTTTATTAGGATGAGTTGTATTTTTTTAAGTTGTTGCTTCTCTTTGTCACCGGCTAATTCAGTCAGGCGACTGTACTGTAGACTGTTTTTAACACTGATCACATGAGCGGAAAAAACATCCCGAATAAGATCTGTTTAATGCTGACAACGGGGTTTAGATCCCTCAATCAACACGACCACTGTCCCCAAATGCTCAAGTGCTAAGCATCGTCAACTCCGCATGAGTCCGTAGTCGTCCTCCTTCCAATTGATTGACGCGCTCCCACAGTAATATCTTACTTTCTCATAATTCTTGAAAGAAATATTTATGAATAACCATTTCATGACATTCTGTCGGGATTACCCACTCATCGCCGTAGGTGGGAAAACAATTTACAGGGTCGTGGGTGCGTTTAACACATCGATTTATATTAATGGTAAGTGAGTCTTCTTGTGGAGGCGTTGACAGACTCACGTGGCCTCTCAAACTGTGTCAGTGCTTCCCAAAACAATTCCCCAAGACCCACCTTAATCAGCCTTAGACCGGCGATCCATCTATTTACATTCATTTTTGATTGGGCAAGTAAAACAAAAATAAAGAATGGTTTGACCCATATATCTTGTTCCATTTTCATTTTTTTTAAAGTATTCCAAACATAATTGGCGGATTTAGGTATTGAAATTATGGGAAGTCCAGTGATGGTACACAGATGAAGAGTCCACCTACTTTAGCACCATCTTGTTTAGGAAACTACACTGTATTATACATTTCTATGTTATTGCAGAACTGTAGCCATAGATTACATTATAACTGTATTAAATAATATTTGCGGAAAGATATCACGAAATAGTTTCCCCATCCCCAATTCGGACTCAAGTTTTACTGATTAAAAAAAGGATTTTTAAATATTTAATTCATCTTTTTAATATTTATTCATTTTTGTGTGTATAGCGCTCTGAGGCATCATTATAGGGCGCATTATCTTCTGGGAGCCGCCGTATCTGAGCACCCGTTCGTCTGTGGCAGGGCAAATGTCTTTCCCGTTCCTTTGCCCAGTCACCTAGGTAGGGGTCCGGGATTGCGCCAGAGCGGAGACGGATGGAGACTTCCTGAATATTTTTCATTATTGTTTTGCCATTTAAATTTATTGCTATTATTTAATCAAAATACAAATAGTTTCTGAATAACCTGTATTTTAAGCAGATTTGAGGTTTCTATGTGCATGATACAAGCGCTTGAGAGGAAAGGCGCTATATAAATGATCAATATTATCATATTAAAAACTTATATATTATTATTATTATAGGTATTATTATTATTATTATTATTGCTGTTGTTGTTATTGTTGTTATTATTATTATTATTGTTATTATTATTATTATTATTATTATTATTATTATTGTTGTCGTTGTTGTTGTTATTATTATTATTATTATTACTGGATATCCATTTTGAATACATTTCCTTTTGTTAGGAGGAAATTTATTCATAATGAATAGGTCTATATTATCATCCTATTAATGGTATGCTGCCTTCTTAATAATAAACTTGAAAATAGAATAAAAGACAAATTTCGAATACACTACGCTATTAGCTTTAAACTAAAAATTAGAATCATCGCCAAGTTACGTACCTTTGATCATTACAGTCGGTGTACACTGTATACCATTATATGTCTGCCAGCAAAGTTATGGATTTTTTAAAATATAAAATACGTCTGTAAATCACTGTAAACTGATTCCTTTTTCAATCTGAGACTAACTGAAAGTTATTATTATTATTATTATTATTATTATTATTATTATTATTATTATTATTATTATTATTATTATTATTATTATTATTATTATCATTATCATTATTATTATTATTATTATTATTGTTATTGTTATTGTTATTATTATTATTATTATTATTATTATTATTATTATGTTTTCGGGGTTTTTCCTTGATTATCTGTACGAATATGGACCTATTTTTAAATGAGAATATTATTTTCTGCTACAACTTTATGCCCAACTTTACTGTTTCTGCAGCTGGTGTTTTATAATAAGCCTGTAGGTTCGAGAATGTTTTTATAAAAACACATTAAGATATAGCAATTTTAATGAGCAATGAATGTTTTATTTTAATGCTTTTGGGTTTTCCGTTATTTTTCGGGTGGCAGTATAGGCCGCTCTTTACATTTTTTATTTTCCCCTACGTTTTCAAGTGTTGTTTATATAGGTCTCTTGTTCTAGAATGTTATATAAAATCACCATAAGATGACGGTTTAAGAAAGATCAGCATGCTATTTCAATTCATGTGACCAGTGAATAACCGTGCCTTGCACTGTATCCTTTTGCGAAATATTTCTTATATTGATCAAATTGAGAAGTTGTTTCAAGTAACTAAAGGACGGCATAATATATATACTGTCTCTTATACACATCTAAAGTATTCCAAACATAATTGGCGGATTTAGGTATTGAAATTATGGGAAGTCCAGTGATGGTACACAATTGGATGAATGATTGATTGGTTGATTGATTGATTCACTGATTGAAATATAATACTTGATTGGTTAATGATCTATCAATCGATTGATTGATTGGTTAATTAGTTGAATAAATGATCGATTGAGTGATTGATTGGTTGCTTGTTGGTTACTTGACTATTTGATTGATTGATTGATAGACCGACTGACTGACGTATTGATTGATTGATTGCTTGCTTGATTTACCTATTCACCGAATCACTGATCGATGTATTTATGGATGAATGAATCGATTCATTGATTGGACAAAATAATTATAGTAGGAAGTACATGAGAACCGTAAGCTAGTAGCACCCGGTACGCTATCAAACACTTGCTAGTGTTTACATTGACTGATGATGAGGATAAAGGGGCGGCGTAGTAAATATAAAAGGAAAGAGCATACACGAACTGACCTCATACGTACACTGATGAGTCTACTAAATACCAAAGAAACACAGTGACTATCTGTAACTTGCAAGCAGAGGGTACGTAATCAAAACCTTTTCTGTATTTATATGTGTTCCCATAACTGTCTAGTATAATATTATAATTATCCTATGTCTAATGGGCAGGCATATACGTATTCTACAGGTGTGCCATTACCACTTGTTACCGGACACAGCACAACCGGCGATACAAAGTTATTAGGCTTAACATCCTGCATATAATATCAGGTATGATTTTTGTTTTATCCGTAAAAATCAATGTCAAAATTAGAGTCATCTACCGGTAATTAAATTACTCTTTCCAATTCGGAATTGTTGTCAAGTCCACTTAAATACTGTGTCAGTGTTGTTGATTTTTCTCACCATCTTATTTAGCGACATAAAATTAGCAGTTATGCGCAGTTTGTACGAGTTGAGCAAATTGGCAAAACATAATAAATAGGACTAACTTTGATAAATTGTCAATAACTGTGTAAAATTTGCATTTTAACCGTATTAATAATGATAGGTACAGTATTCAATAAGTGATACAGGACGCAGTTTAGTTTTGTTTTTTTTTTAATGTGAAAAACGAAGGAGGTATGTATTTGTATAAACTTGAGCAGGGTAAATGATATATAAAGGCCATTAAAATAAAAAAATACGGGGATGGTGTCCGGCGAGGGATAGTTTATTACCTGGTATTGTTACATCGTTATCATTTGTGTTTATGAGCGGATTGTATTTGCATTTCAAAAATGGCAATTTAATTATACTGAATAGGCCTACTGAATACAGTATCGAATGCGAACTGCCACTTGCTCTCTGCATCTTAAGATACACATGACACACCGACACAATATTGAAGAAGTTAATATTACAAAAGTAAAGTCCAATTTTTTTTTAAAATGCTAGTTTCTCGTCCCCTCTTTTCTCTGCCTCACCGTATTATTTTTTTTAATTTCCTTTATTTTACGAAATGTACGAAAATCTGGCTACTGTAACTCACATCAGTAAATTTCTTCTCTCGTGGTTGGGAATACATACGGTATGGTATGAATCATGTCAAGTGCTTCTTTTATTTGCTTTCAATGTGTCTACTTGGTAAAAGTGAGAAAGCAGTAGCTGTTTCCCATCGACCATCTTGGATTTGCCACCTGGGAGAAAAAAAAAGTGCCCTCATTCTCCTTTTTTTTTAATAGGCCTATTAGGACGAGAAACTACTATTAGGACGAGAAACTACTATTAGGACGAGAAACTACTTTTTTTACTTGGCCTAATATTTCAAAGATCGCCTTCATTATCTCCTTAATGGTGAATGTTATTCTCAACCAAATGTAATTAAGAATATGCTTTAGAAACATTTACGTCCGGTTACTTTAAACACAATCATGAATAATCCAAAACTATAAATTACAGAATTTTCCCTGACATTCCGGAATCATAATCCCTTACGCCAGAATTGATTATCTAAATGGCAGTAGTCTGGGCCGATTCTCATAAAAGCCTGTCAGACTGAAAAACCTCCCTGAGCCATATAAACCATTCGTCTTATGTAAAGCGGTTACTTCACAAGCATCGCATGTTTACACTCATGCTAGCGCACTTTGCGTTTTATTGATCAGCGAGTGCGGGCAATCTAAATAAAACGCACGATATCGTACGCAGTTAAGCTCTATGGGAGGAAGAACTAAATTTATTTGTATAAATGTCAGCTAACAAAAGAGGACTACTGGACCTTTTTCGGAGTATCAATCAAACCCGGAATACGCGCATGTCTCAAAACTCACTTTGTAGCAACAAATGTGGGATGGGGCTTATCGGAACGGTTCATTGTGCCCCTTTACTATTCACATGAGGCCAGTGTTTCAGGCAAAAGGATAACTCTTTCAAATGTTATAACCTATCTATAAAGAAAAATGTACAAAAACACACCATTCTTATTTTCAGTCTCTTATTTGTCTAAGAAGGATTTATCTATAGATTTGTAGATTAAGTACCGGTAAGTTATAAAAAAAATATCTGTTAATACTTTAAATATTTTTATCCAATTCATTGCAACAGTTTAGAAGAAAAGTTTAAGTTGGCTGCAAATTGAATGTTAAACGATGAACTCTAGACTGTCTTGCGATGCTTAATGAATTGGGGCGAATTTTTCGCTAACATATTCCTTTTCTTTACCGTTTACAATTTAAAGGTCAATATATGTAATGTAATTGAATAATTATAAAAATTGTTTAAAGTTCAAAGGATAATAATGTATTATTATTGGCTGTGTACTTCACAAAACGTGACGAAACGGTCCATGTATTGAATGCGCTCTACTTATTAACTTTACACACGAAAAGTAGTACAATAATGAACAATTTATTCACTGTGTAGAGTATGCTTTAATCTGTCAAATAATATGAGGTTGCTCAAGGGACGATAAATGTTCGAGGTCTTAGAGTAATAATCACATAAAACAATGATATTTTAACAAATTTAAGATGGGATATGATAATTTTTGCTGATTAACAACAGTTAATCCTCACTATAGGATGATTTAACCATGATTGCTCCTTGTTCCAAAAATTCTTTAATTTTTCTTAAACACATTATAAAGTAATTTAGATACGTACTATAAATAAGTAATTAATCAAATTGTAAAAGTAGACGCGAATTCGTAAGCACGGCAATTTATTATGATTTAACGGCAAAATATTGAAGCTTGTGTGCATGTGCAATGTCGATTTCGGCCATATTATCTTCTGTGCAAAACAGACTAATAAGCCTGCTCAAAAGTTGGCGATTTTCTCTACGAGTCGTTTCTCTCTTTTATTTAACTTCGTGATATTAACTGACATACAAACGCTATTTACCTTCACTTCTTAAGCACCTTAGGCGGTTTTCAACAAGTTAATTAGACATTAGACATGTTCCACTACAAATAATGTACCGCACAAATGATGTGGACTTTGAGTAAAGTTCGATAATTGAAATTTTGTATAATTCCAAGGAATTCGTGCTGTGAATATATTAGACAGATTTTGATATCCGCCAAAAAATGCTAAATATCAACATAGAAAATTCTACTACTCCCACTTTTATTGATTTACTATATTTCACCTGCATTCAACACCAAGTTTAAACTCACCACTACGTAAACAAGATAAGTGACTCTTTAGGAAGGCTTAACTTGAATGATAAAATTCAACATTGTAATTGCTTTTCATAAAATTTAGGCGTAGGCTTTAAACTTAAAATGAACATTAGACCGAGAAAATAATTTCCTCATCAATAACAGCGAATTATATAATAATTGGTTAGATTTTAGGTATAAAATAGGTCCCAAATTAATAAAATGATACACATTATGCAGTTTACACGCGCATGAAATGGTTCAACTTTTAAAAGATATGTCCACTATTAGATACATCTTATGCATAAAATAAGTATGGCGATTTTTGTTTAAATGGTTCACATTATTCAGTTTATAAGCATGAAATAGCTGCAATCTATAAGTGTATATACAGTAGTTAGATTCTATGCTTATGTATCTTATTATATATTTTTCTATATTTACTAATGAATTGTATCTTTATTTTAACACCTTTTATCTATTTATATTTGTGTATATGGTGTACTGCTTCTTAACCTTTAGAATTTCATGTGAACTTTTACGTGACAATAAAGAGAAACTTGAACTTGAACTTGAACTTGAAATGGGCCAACATTTTAAAATATGGGTCCACCTTAGTTAGATTTTGTGTGAACATCTTCTATATTAAAAAAAAAATCCACCTCAGCCCTGATCATGGGGCTGAGGATGTGGACTTTTCCATGCCCACCCTTCCTCCTACTTTTTGCAACAAATTATCTGATATATTACATTTAAAATAAAGAGTCTTGAAAACAATTTTTAAAGTCTGAGAGTGCCATCAGACATGCAGAGTTGCCAAACCCTTATTTTTTTTTTCAACCACAGCTCCAACCATAGTGGAGCTGAGGTGAATGTGTACTTTACTCCTGTCTGAAAAAAGTGCGGGAATGTTTAAACATGAAAGTACAATTTCCAGGCATCTAGATTTGCCACACTTTAATTTCTTTTTACCTTAGGATGTGTACATTCTTGATGTTCATCCTTTACTCTTATTTTTTGCTAGAAATAGTTAAAATTAAGACATTTGGTAACTGTTTTAAGTCGTTTCCAGGCATCGAGGGTTACACATCTTACATTTTTGCCTCAGCCCCAACCATAGTGAGACTAAGGTGGATGTGGGCTTTCCTGATGTTTATTCCTCTCCTTTTTTTCCTTTTTTTTTTGCAAAACAATTATCTGTTACATTATATATTTTTTTAAACAATTATCTGTTAGGCCTATATTATATTTAAAAGTAAAAAAAAATTTACATTTGAAAAAAAGAAAAATAGTTTTCTAAGGAGTTGCATCTGGATGAGTGGGGGAAGGGGTGCCTTGCCTCTCTGGCAGGCCTCCCCATTCCTCCTCTCTTGCCAATAATCGATATAGTCTAAAAACTGGGTACACAACAGACAATAAGACACATTACACAATAATAGTACCGGTAGTCCAAAATGGGTCCACTTTTTGATTGGGTCCACCCTTGGATCATTTCCACTCTTAAATTGTCCCACACTGTTGAAAATCCTGGCTACTTGGGTGACATAAATGTTTTGAAATTCTATAAGGCAATGGAACATCTCTAGTTTTGCTGTCATACCGTTAGTAATTTTATTGGGAGTGACATGTTTTCTATTTATCAAATGAATACGTTTACCCTTCAATTCCTGTATGTCAAAATGTAAATATTTCTAATTTCCTGGCATAAATACAAGGTGTAATGAATATTAGTAGGCCTATTAGTAATGCTAATTGTGATATCTCAATGGAAATTGGATTTGTAAAGTGTGAACATTTTCCCCAAGCGATTTTTTTCGCAATTGTTTTCAAATGTACAGTTTATTCGGTACATTTCCACGTTAGGTTAGGCAAAATTACACCTATACATGTTTCTCCTAACGCAAATCCAGTTATTGTCTATTATTCCATCGCGACAATAACAATTACTATCATCATCATAATCATCATCATCGTCATTTTGGCCCTACTACTCATCCTCCTCTACGTTTCCTCCTCAATTTTCTCTTCTACTTTTCTCATTTTTTTAATTTCTTCCTCTTTCTATCAGAGCTATTATTATGCCCAATCATCGTGACAATTAAGTTAAAAAGAGTAATGTACGAGCTTA